AACGATGGGGGGCTATCAACCATAGAGGTCATATATAGAGGATACAACGGACAAAATTCCTCTCCGAGTTTTGTCCTTTCGTCAGCAGAAAATTAGATACGAAACACATCCTCTTTGCAACCCCACGCTATCCCCAGAATTCGTCGGACTGACCCAGATAAATCCTCTATTGGTTTGACACAGTCAGCGACCTCAGTGGGCGGGACCGCTTCGTACACGTCTGGGTAGTTGCAGACCCATTTCCATAGACGGAACCCCGCTCTACTCAGTATCTCCCTAATTTGTGCCACGAACTGTGTTGCCCTTTCTACAGTCGGCATAGAGATCAGCAGGTCGTCGACATACAAGTTGTTACGGATTGCCTCCGACACAGTATTGTCCTATCGATATCCCCACTCATAGAGTAACAGTTGCACAGAAGGGAGACGAGGTTGCTCCGAAAGAGTGAGCCATCATCTGATACTCTACCGCCTCAGAGTCTATCGCATTATCCTTCCACCACAGGAATCGAAGTGCACCCATACTTGCATGTCCATATATTCTATATTTGCTGAGACTGCCACCTTCTCGTTGCGGAAACGTATTAGAATACCGATAAGGTTTGCCGTGGTATCTGGGCCCTGAAGTAGCTGGTCATTTCGGGACACACGCTTATGCTTGGCCGCACAGTCTAAAACAATTCTGAGTTTTCTCGGCTTTCTCGGGTTTATAACAGGATGATGTGGTAGATACCACTTCGGAGTATAACCAGATCGCAACTGCTCGAATGGCACGGGAATCGCATACCTTTTCTCGACGTTCGCCGCCACACTTTCAATGTATTTTTCTCGTAATGATGGATTACTTAATAATCGGCGGCTCAGACACTGCAGTCGATGCCAAGCTAGCTCATAGTTGTTGGGAACGTTCGCTCGCCAATTTCTCCACGGAAGGGCTAACTCGAAGTGTCCATCTACTAACCGCACTGGATTCGCAGCGGTACATAGGGCATTTTTGACTTTTACGGAGAATGAACGACAGCTCTAATTCACCCTTTCAAAGTCGCTTTCATACAGAAGTCTGAATTGCTCTACCAGCGGTATATCATCTGCTTGCACACAATTCACCGATACTCCAGTCTGTTGGCTAAAGCCCACAGGTCCCAGTAACGTCCATGCTAGCAAGGTCTTTGTGGCAAACCGGAGTATCCGGACCCCTCCCACCCCCACGACGCTGTTCAAGCTGCCAGTGAACTTCAGGTATATCGGCTCCCAGAAAATTTCGAACGTTAGTATCCTTTATCTCAACCAATTGAACATCAGCTAGATGAGGCCAACGCTTCGCAACCTGGCTGATGGGGCAACTTACATTATTCAGTGTTCTACCTTGACTGAATCGGAGCCATCCAAAGCCGATAGTTGAAAACCCGCAAGACCTGCGTCTAGGGATGCAAAACCACTTACTGCCTGTACTTTAAGAGATGCATTATTCACCTTTATCCCGGCCTCCTGCAGAATGTCCCGCTGGATATGGCTTACATCGGAACCGCTGTCCAATAGGGTATACGTCTCAACCGATCGCAAGAGACCTACCAAAAGCACCGGAACCACACCGAGACATACCTTCTGGGAAGCGGAACGGGTAGTATGATAAATGTTGATCTCCTGAGGGGAACTTAGTGTCCTTTCCACATGCAACAGGGAATGGTGTTTACCTTTGCATGAAGGTAGTCTGCATCCCTTACTATCTCGACAGCTCACAGCCCGATGGCCTAGTCTCAGACAGTTCTAACATCTCCCCTTCGATCTTACAAGCTCCCAGCGACCGGAGACGTCTAAGAACAGAAATGTCGGACGTGACGCTGTGCCATGTTTCTCGCTGCAGATTAGGTATGCTGGTTTCTGGGGTTGCACCGAGGATGTATACAAAGCCAAATTACGGTCGGTACGTTTATCACCCAACCATTGAAACAGCGCCACATTCTAGAGACTCGGAGTGCTCCTCGTCGCCAGCTGACCAAATCTACTACATAGTTCTCGCGTTTCGGTGGCGATAAAGTCTGTCACTGCTCTAAACGAAACGTCCCATCCCTCTTGGACGAGGGAATCCGCTGCTCTTGCCCATCTCGACTGTAGGCTACTGGGCAAGACGCGGACCAATCGCTCAATGGCAGCTACCAAGCCCAGATCAGCAGTGAAATCCATCTGGAAAAGAGCAGTGTGGCAATCCTCCACTTTTAAGGATAGACTTGATAAGGAATCATGATCATGCGCTAGGGGTTTCAGACCGGCGAATAAACTGTCGATTAATGATCTAGCCACAATGTGACATTGACCCAATAAATCACGAAGAATGACCCTAGTCTTGTCGTATGCCCTTTCATGGGGCAACGTTACGCATTCGTTGACGGCGTCTTTAGCAATAATAAATCAAATAGAGCAATATTTGGCCTCTACAAGCTACTCGGACTTCAATGAAATATTCAAATTTCTTTATAAACCACCAGTAATCTGACGGATTACCATCAAAACACTCCAATTCGACCCTACGTAGGTCCAATCATGGAGGATAATCCTCCCGCAAACTGGCGGCAGAAGATTTATAGGCAGTCATTTCAGACAGCGAAATGCGACAGTCTTAAAGAGCCGATCTATTTGTTCAGTCCTAACTACTGGCAATCGACTGAGAACATCGGGTGGTTTATGATCGTCAATCCTCTCATGTTCTACACGCAGCTTAGCCGTACTTAGTGCGTTCTCGGCTTGCAATACACCTTTCTTATTCTCCAACTGCATCTTGGATAGTAACTGCTCTCTGTGCGACTCTGCTAATTTCAACGCTGCAAAAGCGCCGTAAGAATCAACAATCGGTTTATTCCTACCGCTAAATTGTGTCCCAGAACATGAAACCACAACGTCATCAACAACAGGAAAAAGCTTGACTTACCGAGTTGCATATTCAGTTTCGCAGGATATCCTTTTCAAAGACATGGTTCCACACAGAAGGCGATTAGTTTCGACTGAGATTCGAACCGTAGTGGACCCGTTGACCAGCACTAGCACTACGAATGATGTATGCGATTTCAAAGGGAAGATGCAGACCAAAGTCCTTGGACTCCAAAGAAAGCCACGTTAAGTGCCGTTAGCAACAAAATTTGCTTGGAAGGTTCGAGTGACGAGTTGCCACCGGGATCAAAGAAACATCAGATCCGAAACTGGATAACGGTGCTAAATACAAAGGAATAAATGGTTGGCAGCATCCAGTTTCGAATTTACCTGTCACTGTGACCAGCCACAGGACGCCTGCGCCTACAGAAAGACCATGGATGGCTTGCGCTGCACCACCCACAGCTCCATCCACACATCCCATATCCAGTGTAAAACCGAAGAAATAAGACCGGGAGGCATGTGAATATGAGCCACATTTCGTCAACGGAGCAGGCTCACACTCCTTCACAGGCAAACACAAGCACGCTGTATTTGGGATTCAAACGCACTCAAGGCGGTGGCTGGACCGTAGTCAGCTCCACACTGAGTGCCTGGAGCCACTCTTTGATCCTAGCACGACCACAAGGATCGTGCACCCCGACCACTCCAGCACGATTAACTCTCTCCTAGAGCCAGTATGAATAAAGCAGCATATGAAATAAATACTTTAACGATTATGCTTCCAAACAGAGGACAATGACAATCGTTTGGTCCGAGTCGACAATTCCAGCTGCAGTGCAGTCATTCTACAAGATTGGCAGGTAGCGGCTCCTGCGCTGGCTCTTGGTAGGGATCAGCCAGTAGTGATCGAGGAATTCAAGTAAATAGCCAGCTATATCAATGTCAGTGGAATGGAAGACGGGATCACGAACAGTATAACCAAACATTGTGGAGCTTATGCCAAACTCCGCCAGCTGTGGCACTGTCGCGAGATCGTTCTCTCGCTGAAGGACAGAGTTCACAATGCAACCGTTCGCTCAACCATGCTGTATGGTTGCGAAACTTGGCCCATTAAATCGACAGATGCAAATAGGATAGTAACGCTTGACTATGGCTAACTTCTTAGCACCGCTCTCATCTAGTGGAAACAACGCGTGAGCAATGAGCGTGTTCGGCGACGCGTAGTTAGTGAAATAATAACGAGCAAACCGCTCAGTACCCTTATTTTACGAACCATGCTCCGATGGCTATGCTGGGTGTAGCGCATGTAGGCACACCGACTGCTGTGACTTGCATTGATTGCGCGACCGGGATGTGAATGGAAGAAGGGAAGGCCAAGCGATCACTTGGTCAAGAGAAATGATGGCCCTCACTTCGAACTTGGCGTCGGTTGGTGTCTCCCGAGTGCCCGGCTGGGGTTTCAACGCCTATAAACACATTAGGTCGGGTACACTAGTTGACGTGGCGAGGAGCAGAGCTCAATGGCGTTTGTGTTGTTCCTTCATCCAATCCAATCCCGGTTATGGTTGTCATCTAACTATGATCTTTGTGTTGAAGCACACTATGTTACTAAGCCGTATAGCACTGGTTGATTTTGTGAATCGTGTAACGTTTTGTATCTCGTTTTGTCATTTATCTTATATTGTAGCCCCATTGTTACAGTGTGTTTCTCACCTTCAGTTAATGTGAAATGATATTGATGATGGTGAAAATGAGAGACTACAAATGAGAATAAAACACTACCAGATTCAAGTCAACAGGCAGGAAAAGCTGCCCATTTTGATTCCATTACGTCCGCTTAAAAGTTTCAATCTTCCAACGAAGAACATTGCACATCCATGCCTATCAAAGCCGACGTCAACCTGAGAAATCGTTGTTGACACGCTACTGTGCTGTATACTGGTTACCTATGCGAAGCAATAAAGGTCGCAAACTGGAGATAGAAAAGTCGCTTCGAGTGAAAGACTAGTCACTGACTTAGTGTGAACATGCCGATAAGTGAGAAGCTTGGAGAAGAGTGGTCATGAGATGGGGAATATATCGAGTTTTCATAATGGCTACGAAGATTGGACATAGCAAATAACCACACGGTAAAAAGACGCCTTAGTACAACGTCTATCGTTTGAAGTGATAAATTTACAATGAAGGAAAATGGTGTTGCTGGTGAGTCACCAAAATAATGCAACTTTGTGTACAACCGGAACGTACGACTGCAACAGGCGGCGGAAACAGACGCGTAGTTTGTTTTGTGCGTCTGCATAACCTGTAATGTCCAGAATTGGAGGGGATCCGGGTAAGGAAACGGATTGAGGATGAATTGGTAATAAATCTGGTTTCAGAAACGTGAATGCCGCTTCCGCCGGGCCTCGATTCACCGTGGTCCCAATGCAACCCTGAATTCGGAGAAAAGCAAGCAGTGTGATAAAGGGCGCGCTGTCCGATAAAAGTCGTCGGTCATTCAACTGTCTATATAAAGCATTGCCACGTGAGGAAAAGGTCAGTTAGCTCGCGTTTGATGACGTATGTATATGTCATGACAAACCGAGCACACACGAACGAATTCCACAATAGATGAAGCGCAAAATGTCCAAAAATGAGGTCTAAATTAGCAACTATTGAACGACAGCAAGTGGAACACCGGTCCGTGGGCCAAAAAGACTAAATCAACGCAACCGACCTTACTCAGCCCGTGCGTTCAACAAAATGGGGGCACTGTTTGACAAATGACTAATGTATCTAATGAGCCGGACGAAGATGACTAAGAGACAACCGCACTAATGGCAGCTGTATATTTTCTAGAAAGCTAATGGGATCAACAGCCGATGACTAGTTGATAGCGTAACCACGATGAGCAGTGAAAAAAGCTGGGAGGGTTGAGACCTAAATTGCCATTGAAAATTCGTGCAGCAAAAAGATGTAAATTTCTCGGATGGGTGAGATGCGTTGTTTCTGTAATAGAGACAGATAACCGTGTACATGCGTAAGACGGGGATTCAGAAGTGCCTGGATTGGTGAAACATTGGAATACGCGGTTTTTGTTGGCACTGGGTGCTGAGTAAGGAATTTCCAAATTAGCCATATACTTTTCGAATCATCCTGGAATAATTCAGTTGGCAGCCTTCAAGGTAAAAGTATGGACGTTATCGAGTTCTGATTGAGCAAACCATTTAGTTTAAGACGTACTGTTCTCGCTCTTGTGAAAAATGTGATAATGGCAGGTGGTTTATCGCACGAGAGCGTATATTGTAGCGAGAAAATCGGAATGATCAGACATCCCGAATCATCCTACAATTAGTGTACAACTTTTGATGGTGAAGTCTCCGGTTTCAATCATGTTAGGACTCGCTTATGAACTGATCTGATACTGAATGAGCGTTCAGTTTCGGTTCAGCCGTCAGTTGAAGACCGGAACAAAGCTTGGTAAACCGAACCAAGCACCTTATGATACGAGGCTGAAAGCCGAGTGAAGGACAAAAAAAGGAATCAGTGCATATGAAAAATGATATCGACATCCGCGAAACTGGAGTTCATCAGCTCGATGCTGGTGATTGCGAAATAGATTAGTACAATTTTTCAGTTTCAGCAACCATGATCCGCGCACAGAAGTGGAGTAGATCCGGCTGCCGAGACACATGTCGCCGAAATGACAACAAATAACATCGGCAAGAAAGTGAAGTTGAACATAAAGAGAATAAGTAAAAAGTGCGTAAAACATAAAGGAATAAAAATTAACAGCCAGAGGCAAGAAACCGAATACAGAAACGCCATTAACTGCGCGATGTCTGATACACTCTCTGACCGCTGGTGTGGACCATCCCGAGACTCTCATCCAAGAAGACGGCGCGCAACATCTTGACCAAGTCTCTCAATAAATTAATCAGTGTTTTCATGCCGCGTCAACGACTGGCCACCTCGCAGTTTCGCCGAACCTGCTACAGCGACGAGGTATACTACACACTGACAAAGGAGGTCCGCGTGCACACGGAGAACACAATCTAGCGAAAACATCCGAAACATAAGGATCAGCAGTACGGCAGCACATTAGAACGACATTGCGTTACCACAGGACTATCATGTCGCGCGAAGGCAGATATGCCACGGCGTCACGTGCACCTACGCAGATTGGCACTGCTGACTTCAGGATGGAAGCGCAGGCGTGAAATCCTTTCGGCCGATGACTGACTGACTTGCCTCTGGTGTCACACAGAAGTGTCTGTCGTACTTGAACCGCTGGTCTAGCCAACGCAAACGGTTGAGCTAAAGCAAACACCCGAGTGAGAGGACAGAGGGTTCCAAAGGAAATCGCGTGTTGTTCGCCGAAAACATTATAATCCACGACCTGATACGCTTATTTGATCACATCAGGTAGAGAGCGTAAGGCATCGAACCCTAGGCCATTGAGATGTCAGCCGAAATTTCTACCTCTAAGCCACCGAGACACGACGGGTAACATATATCACAATGATTAATGACTGATTGCAGGGGACATTTTGAAACAATCGAATTAAAGACTGGTAGCTCATGTTGTTCAGATGCCGGTTGAACTGTACACTGGGCTTGGAAATTTTGTTGCAAACGTTCTATCACCAATGGAGGTAACATAATTAGTGCGTATTTGAGTGGCGTGCAATGTGAATCGATCGCGACACACAAACTCGATGTGAACTGCGGTTCACAAAGAAGTGAACCTTAGTTAAAGTTAGTTAGTAACTAATGAAACAGAAATTGGGTGTTGCTCTCCGAAAAAATGCACTCCAAGATCGGTTTCGAAATTACTTGATCCCAGCAGGTATAGATGGTCGGAATAAAAACAAGAAGTCATTGGGACATCAGATTAAACCTTCCTTCTAGCAAGGAGCCAAAGCACACGCGTGAGTTGCTCACTGACTCATAGTGCTCGGTGCACTGCCCTTCGGGTGTAAGCTTTATCGAAGGCTTTGGCTGAGGAGCCGAGTCGTTCTCCTGACAGGTGTAGACGTCCTGGCGGTATCCTAATCCAACCCCAACCATGAATTACGCCAATAATAATAAATCCATGCTGCATCGGCCGTCGCATAGTGGCACTAGGAAATGTCGCTTTATCTGTTGCATACAGCAGGGTGGATAAAGGAAAACATGCTACTGCTCACAGCTCCCTTTGTTCGTCTTCCCCTGCACATACTCTTCCAATCCTCGGTACACTTCAAGTTCAAGTTCAAGCGGGACTGGAACGATAGTATTATCCCGTGAGTGTTCCTTCTTCGTGAAATCCCGATCGCACCATCCATATGGTTTCCCACCAACGCAATTGTATGCCTCTGCGCAAAGCGCTCAACATCGGGTGCTGGAACGTGCGTACATTACTCGGTTGGAACACGAGGGAGCGACCTGAGGGACGCATGGCGCTAGTCATGATGGAGCTCCGGCGCTCCTTGACCGACTTTTCCACACATTGTAACTCGGCTCGCTGAGCAAGGCAAGCTGCAGGAGGCTGATGCTGATTACACGATCTACTGGGTGGGAAACTGTGTAAAAATGGAGTCAGATTTGCATTATCCGATAGCTTAAATGGCAAGCTGGTGGCGGAGCCGACTGACATTAGGCCATGTCTGATGACTCATCGATTGCGTCTTGGAATCTGTAAGTTTGACACTTATAGTAGCACGTATGGTGCAGCGTGTTGTCCTGGTAAAATAAAAGATCAGTTTTACACTCAGTTGTCTTCCGTGATACACTCGGCGCCGAGAAGCAAACAGCTATTGCCACTGGGTAACTTCAATGCGGGCATTGGGCGTGATGCTGCGATGTTGGCAGATCTAATCGGTCGGTATGTCATTAGCACAATCAACACTAACGGTGACAGACTACTCTCACTGTGCGCCACTCATAGCGTGACGATCATGAACACGCGGGTTGCACTGTGTGCGAGTGACATAGCTACTTAGACGCACCCACGGAGTGGTCACGCTCACATACCCATCGTACTCTAGCGTCACATGCGTGAAGAGCGCAAGACACGTGTACAGCGTGGAGATGAGTGTGGCACAGACCACAAATTGGTGCGGACCAGATTGTACATTTATTTACGGATATATGTATTGCTTGCCTGCCTTGAATCGGCAGAAAGCTAATGTTCATTTCCTAGGTACTGAGGAGAAGATGATGGAACCGTGGAGGGTGATGGCTGCCCACCTAGGCAATGTCAACTGCATCGCGAGTAGAGATCCAGTCTCTCAGAGGTCGCCCAGTGATTCCACAGAATGAGTGACCGGTAGAGAGTAACGATTTCTGGAAGAAACCCCAATGCTGCTCTACGTGTTGAGGTAGAGTTGCCAGTGAACATATCTGGTAAGCAAAACTGATAAGCCAATACAACGGAGGTATTATTAGCTAGCCAACTGGCATCCAGCGTACGGTGCTTTGTTTCCGATGAACCCCCAAAACGAATGCAGATATCCACAAAGACCAGAGTGTGATATGAATCAAGCTAGGTGAATCAAATACATTTATAATCCAGTACGTTGTCCCGACATCCGATGCTGACTGCGATATGATCAATCCGTGATACACGCTTGCGTTGACGAAAGGGAACCTCATGTGGCAGGCAGCTGTACGAATAGAAGGAATTGGTGCTCGAAAGAGGAGGTTGGTCTTACAGATTGTGAAAACTCTATCTCCGTTATCAAAGCGATTCCAATAAAGGTTATGCTAGCCATTGAGATGACGTTCGTATGGAGAGCGACACGTGCATTGCAAGCACCAGTAAGGACGGCGATACCTGATTGTTTGGCTTTATTCAATAGCTTGTGGAGTCCGTAATAAAAATCGCCCTTAACCGATGCACAAGTACAGTCGGTTGGAGCGTAATCGGAGATCATAAGCAAATTACGTCTCTCCTCACAGTGTCTGTTGGTCTTACATGAGCTTTGAAGCCGAACCGCATACAGTGGACTGCCAATCGGGAACCAATCGAGTAGCGTGGCCTCAGCTTTGTCACTGAATGCGATGACAAGACCAACCAAGTTAGCTGTAGCTGCTTCTGTCATCAGAAAGACCTAGGTACTATGTGGTTTCAAGAGCAGCCGTAGACAACAATTTAACGACGGTGCTGGGATCCTTCAATGGAGTCTCGGAAAGGCAACAAACATCGCCAGCTAGACTCTACGGTACGCGTTAGGCCAGCATGCTCCCCGATCTACGTGAGGGCTGGAACATTGATGGCTGCCACCCGGAAGTAAGGCTACTAACCAGACTCTTTGGTCATCTGCGAGATTGGCGTCGTAAGTGGTTTCAAAGGAACGAATATTAAGTAAATAAGGTATATCTGACGTGTGAAGAAAAGGGGCAAGCAGTGAGGAAGACAGCAGAACAAAAGAACGAAGCAGTAGTATTTGTGGAATCCATGGTTCTGTCAGATGGAAATATAATAACCGGTCTCCCAAGTTGAAGTAGGGAGTTGTTCAGGGTACATCATAAGGATCCTTTGACCGAATAGCCTGCCAGCAAGGTAGCGGAGCTAAGTCAAGAAATCGCGCCCATTGGGAGTCGCAGACCGATTCGCCAGCTGTATGCCTTAACGGCGCTTCGCCTCCACGCGACCACCACCAGCCGCGCGCGGGTTGAGTATGCCGCGAGGACACCACCCCAACGCAGAATCGAATCGGTGACCTTATGGTTGCAAACCAGGCGCGCAGACCACTCGGCCAGTGGCTGGTTGCCAAACGGAAACCCAATCCTGTCCATGATTTCAGCAAGAGGTTAATGGAATATGATGCTCCACCGGGAAGAATCAGAGGATGTGGTCGACGCAAACAAGACCAGGGCGAAAGCCTGCCTGCCAATAAGTCGTCGAAGAATGACAAATTGAAAAATTTGGGAGCAAAGCAAATAAGGCTAATGCCTCGATGATTTTCGCCCACTTTTTGAAGATCAGGAAGATGGTTAACAGCCGCCGAACTGAAAGGTTGATAATCTGAGCAAGACAATGGTTCGTAAGGGCGTGCAGCTGGTTGAGTTTCCGATTGAGATCCGAGTGTGATGAGAGTGACAACTAGATGGGAGTCGGTGACAGAAAACGAACAGAAAAGTGCTATCGCTCCTGTAATGAAATAAAAAAGTGCAAGGAAAACTACACAAAAGAAGCAAGATGAGGACGACGTTGATCAGTGCAATTGCCTGCCACACGGAAGACAAGCTCAGCAAAGTCCGAATTCGCTAAGAAAAGCAAGACCCGTGTCCGCGTCGATCAGAGGCGATAGAATACGCACAGTTACCGTAGTGAACGAATAATACGATTGAAACGATGAGGGCAGTTGTATAATTGCACGCGCAGTACGTAGAAAAGCGCATGAGCTGAAATGCGGCTGACAGTAAACAGTCGGGAGCAAGATTATATTATCCGGGATTTTTCGTAGTTGGCGTCTTCAAGTATGCGGATGGTTATGTGAGGAAAAAGGGTATGTTACGGGGATGCTATCAGACAGGATGAAATACGGAGACGGCTACTAAACAGAGCAACACAACTGTGACGCAAGTGGAGCCGAGGAAAAAGGTAAGAGGTACCTGTAACAACATCTGCAATAACTTGACATCCACAGGCTTGACATCCAGCACTTCATCTAGCTGTTGAACTCTTCGAGAGATGTCTCCGATCACCACTTCGATGGGGGACAAAATGCAGAACCGTTTGGAGGCAACAGGCATGCGAGAAGTCAGGTAGGGAAAATGATGATCGGTAGTCAATATGATCTGACGCTGAAATTGCTCACTCAGGCTTCCATACGGTGTGCCACTCGGAGTAAAGGGTATGGAATACGAGAATTGTTCTAAAAGAGAGACAAGCATTTTCGAAATAGGCCGCATGGAGATGGTAGGCAGAATATCGATTAAGATCAAACTACACCATTTCCCGGCCAAGTTGTCTTCCTGGGCAACAGAAATAATCTGAGGGGGCATTCAACATGAGTCTGCTCAATTAATTTGTTCCGTGCGTAGGAGCTGAAGCGTCCCACCTGCACCCCTATGACTTAGTGCGTCTGAGGTCCAATTGGCTGAAGGCGACGGGCTATACACGCACACATACACACCTGCACAAGTGACTGGCTTACGCACGGAACAAATTAATTGAGCAGACTCATGTTGAATGCCCCTTCTGTTGCCCAAGAGGACACCTTGGCTGGGAAATGGTATAGTGAGAAGTGAAAAGCTGTGAGCATGGAGGAATGACTCACTCGATGGGATTCGCAAAAGAAAGCCAAAAATCGCTCGTCAGAGTTGGTACTGTTGTACAACTGGACACGAGGGGTAATCCAAAACTCAGTAATAATTTAGCATATGTGTATGCTAAGACCAATAGTGTTGTAGAACCTTTTCAAATAGGTTTGTATACATTCAGAAAACCACAAGTGGTACGAAGGCGATTGACTCACTTAGCATGTAGTTTCGTTGCAATGCAGTAGTGCGGAGGTCAAGTTCATGCTTTTCAAAATATGGTTCCACGTAGGTTATCTGCAAGTACACCTGCAACATTCACATTGTGGGAGTGAGAACACAATGAGGCAGGCCGGGAAATAAAAAGGACGTTTTCAGCGAAAGGTGTGCCAAAGAAGTCGGTTGATAAGAAAAAGGACAACAAAAGCGTTGGGACTTATGTTGTAACAGATCAAAACTCCTCGTACACGGTTGAACGCGACCAGACGATAGAAGAGTTGGTTATTCATTATGTACATACTGCGTTGGATTGCGATAAGCAAAGTGTAGTTGGACGCTTAGCAACATTGCAAAGAAATGTCAGCGTTAAAGCTGTATCGGGGACATTAACGGTATCACTTGATCCTAGCACGACAGATGTCATCCGTAATTGGATCCAGCAGAGATTCAAAAGAAAACTCTCATGGTTCCTTGGTTACGCAAGCCAATTCTGTGGCTCAGGCCAGTACCCCACCTATCACATGAACATGGCGCAAAAGACTCATAACACACAAACCAAACCAAAGAAAAATAAGTGGAGAATGCTAACTTCAAAACGACGTCACATAAGGATGTCCGAAGGATCCGATTATGACACCAGTAGGGGTAGGGCGGCATATCGAAACGAAAACAGTCAAGTGGCTTCAAAGGAAGGAAGCGAGCAGTGCACGAAACCAGCAAAACAGTCAGTCTCTCCTGCTAGGGATGGACATGCGACCCTAGTAACCCCTTGTAACTTGCAGATGAATGTGCAAGCACCAAACAGAGATATGACAAGTTTCGGTCACACAGCAGTGACATATGTAGTGAGTGATATGTAGGTCAAAAATGTGAATTTATCGGTTTACTCGATCTGAAATGTCACGAAAGGCTACGCAAGAAGTGATCATTTGATACATATGCAGTGAGAAATGAGTGCATGAGCCCGCTCTAAAGTGTGGCTTGGGTAGAAGCAAACTATGGATGGGATACACGGCAGAAAAAGTACAAACACAAGTAGAAATTGGGTGTTGCGCGCCCGAAAACAGTGCACTATTATGACGCGTTGAGATGTTATTAGATCTCATCAGATAGAATTAGCAGGCGTTGAACTCGGGACCATTGGGATGACAAATGTGACCGCTACCCCTAAGCCCCGGGCACGAAGGGCAACGCTTGGCAGAACGGTTTAATGAAGGACGTTGAATGAACGATGTTAGCGATCGAAAGACCAAAGTTCACTTCAATGGGAATCGCCGTCAACATTGAGATTGCGCGTCGCAATCCATCCACACAAGGTGTACTTCAAAATGACCCTCAACATCGTACAAATGAAACTCTTATCCATAGGCAACGCATCGCCATGGAATGGTAGACGAAGTTTGAGATCTGCATGCCCCGAAAGTTGTGCGTTGATCCATCAGTAATAGAATAGCAGAAACAAACGCCGTATTTCAGAGGATAACAAACGTTGGAGGTTGCATCGATTCCATCCAGTTAAGAGCAGTGAATGGCAAAAAATAGAACAACTCATTCAGTAGCATAAAGCAATTGAGAAAATGAAGGTTTGGGTGCCCACGGAATGTTGGATTACCTGGCCTATCTCTGGCTGTCCATTAGAGAGGAGAAAAGTCTGATCCACCCAAATCACATCCACTGATGGAAGCACCAGCACATACATGACAGAAATCAGTTAATTAATTAGGCGAAGCCCTAAATAAGCAAGATACTAAGTCTGCATCAGTCTATCTTACAAGGCCACACAAGGTTTTATGCATTTGCGCCGAAATCGCTCGGTAGTTCACCTGCATATTTCTGACAACCAATAGTTTTGAAAGGTTTGACTGAGGAGGCGATACAGGTGTTTCGTGATCACCCGTACAGCTTCCAAAGAGTAGTCGAGATCCATGAACACAAGCACCCGATGTTCGCGAAGTCGTCGAAATGGTGAGGTAAGTTCAGACCAGTTAAACAAATACGATCCGGAAATCGAGGTGCAGTAGATGCAGTTGTCATTACTCATGTCTCCAGAATAACAATAATTGACTACGGCAAAATAGCGAGGTTGAATGCAAATAGAATGCTGAGTAAAAAAACCAAGAGGCGTGTTATTCTAATCGGAATAGAATGAAAGTGAACAAATACATTAGTTCAAGAAACCAAATGTTGGAACGCCACTGACTACGCGGCTGTACCATGTTTGATACAGTCTCCAACCACTGGGGTGGACGATTCAGACGAACCCAACCACATTGACGGCAAACAACAGCCTGAGTAAGGCTCTCAGTCAATTTCTGCATGCCTCCATGCCACGTCATCCAAGGGGCACCTAGCAGTTTTGCAGCCACGGCATATAATGCACCCCGAGGAAGTCGCTCGACACGTATATGGAGCACACAACCTAGCCAACGGAAGTAGCTGACCTTTAGAAAACAGTCTAGTGGGGCACCAGTGGGTTCCTTGTCAAAACCAAACGGTGGAACTCATCATTGCTCTCCCGGTGTTCAACAAGAGGTGATAAAATACTCCGCAAATACCGGCGGCCAAACAAAGACAAGCGTTTAATGTCTACACTGCGAACTAGCCAGGTTTCTAATCCATACAGTAACATTGAACTTATCGCTGCGCTATATACCATACATAACATTGACAGGTTGAGATCCCACTGTCTCCAGAGATAGTTGAGCCTATGGAAATCCACAGGGCCTTGATGATGTGCAGTGAGGTGACCACCAAGGGTGACACAGCTACCAACATTCGAAGTAGCTGTTCGGTGACACCTCGAATAGTTGATGCATCAGCCAGTCTTGCAGCAATGGGTGGAACTGGGAAGGTACAAAGCACATGTCAAAACGTGCAGCGCTACGCGTCAGTTTATCCAGCAATGTTTGCATAGCCACTGCAACCGACCCAAGAAGAAATATATCTCCTATACACTCCAGGTCTGTTAGTCGGTGACCTAGCAGAATTTCTACTCTGGAAGAGTCTGAAAGAACGAAGAGATTTATTATCGCAGTATCACAAGTTGAAGAGAAGAGGAGATAGGACAACTCTAGCGAACCTCATTTGTAGGAAGCAACCCAAGAGACAGCTCCCCGCAGACCATTACCCGACCTCAGAAGTCGCGTAGAGACTACATAATGGAGAGGAGTTCCCTAGACAGCCCTTTACTGATAGGCAGTGTCACAAGCTTGCGCGATCCACAGTCAAGAAAAACCACCATTATCGATCGTCTGTAAGTAGATCTCTGTTCCAGCATTTGACGAAACATAAATATGTGCTGGAAGCAATCACGACCAGGGCGGAAACAAGCATGGCTTTCAATGGTCCAATTCTCACGAAGAGCAGTAAGTCATTAAAGAATGATACATGTGTCGAGTTTGCAGTCGGCATTACAAGGAAATCATGGTTATATGCGTTTACACAAGGGGAATCCAAGGTAGTCCCCGGTCACGCCATACATCAAAGGTGGATTTTGCAGTGATGTATAACTGCTTTCCAATAACGGCCTGTTGTCATAAGATGCCCTCAGCCAAGAACAAAACAATGACTACCAGGTCCACACACATATACGCACGCGTGATAGGGTAGGCGGAACGAAGAGACACACTTACTTTGTCCGTGTCCAGAATTGCCGGGTTCACTGTGTTTGAGTCCGGCACAATAACAACACGATCTTCGCCAAATTTCTGAACCAAAAAGGTCTGCGGTGGATAGGGACCAAGCAGCAGTAGAGGGAAACTAGATGACTGCTTCAACCGTCGAGTTTCTGATACCTACTGATGAACTAGAGCTGTCGCTCATGCACCATGGATAGAGAAGTCGCTACGAGCAATATACACACATAAACCAACAGGGAGTACAAAACTTACAGCGACAATCGCGTGACATTCGAGATGTGAGGCCAAGGCACACGACAAGGATGCATTAAGCATATGATTTGGGTCCATTCAAAGTACTCGTTATATGATGGGATTGCGAACTACAACCTCAATCTGGACAACAGCAGTTAAGGTTGAAGCGCATCTCCGTTAGTTCTATGGTTGTGATTGTGTCTCAAGCAAGTGGATCTTGTGTGGGCGCTACGCCTAACATTAAGCCAAATATCGATTAATTGTTCTCATGGATCTGTGATGTAAATAGCTGGGGCATTCCTCGCTGTAGCTTCCGAGTCAGGTAGTTCTTCACGTGCCCGCAAAAGCAGTAGAGGGCCGTTTCGTCCCAAATTTGCATCACAAATCCCTTACTCATGGGTGCATTATAAACTCCGCCTTAACAGCCACCAATTGCTATACCTTACACAGCTACTGTCAGTGAACATCGTCGCCCTCGGGGCTAATCGTCCTCTGCAATGTTCATAACCTGCATAGCAACGGAGGACAAAATGCACGATTTCGCAATTAGCTGTTGAAGTATGAAACCCCGCAGCTGTCCTCCGCGGGTTAGGGGCAAAAGCTGTTGAATGGCGGTGCAAGCCACCAGTGGTCATTGGTTCGAATGCTGATGGATGCATAATACTGGGGATGGCCAAACAAGTTGAAACTGCAGTCTAGTGTCTTTCCGGGCGTGTGGTTTTTGATTTGGAAGCGGCTACGAAGAAACCCACTAATTATAGTACCTGCCTGGAATACGCAGCGAAAGATACAGAAAATAAGGCCATTGAAACGAGGCAGTAATTGTGATCTATCAAGCAATCTGTGGTTAGCAGGTAGTCAGGATGCGACGCTGCGACTCTAGTCTGCACGGACATCTGCATGAACATTTGTTGATTCACACAATGCATGAGGGAATTTGCGACGAGCCACTGAGTCATTCGAAGAGCACTGATGGTTTGGGGCGTTGTGTGCACAAGGGTTGTTAGTTCGGAAATGTACAATGTAAAAGACGCTAAAAGAAAACGAGATCTACGGTCAGAAAGTGTTGATGATCAGTAAGTGAGCATAAACAAATTGTAGCACCATGCATGGAATATTCTCCACAAGAAATCATGCCTAACTGTTGGATCTACATGTGTGTCGAACGAGTTGAGGGAAAATAAACAGTATTAGAATGCGCTGAATTGTCTACTGCTAATTTGCACTGCGGCTGATAAACAAAAGGTAAATACAACAAGGTAGATACAATAGGAAGAAGATGAAGAGGTGTTTGGATGGAAAACTAAGTGGATAAGTGGATATATATGATTATGAACTCACTACGACGCGTTGAGTCATCTCGGTGAGTTTCGTGAAAGGTGCGACTCGGTAAATGTATTCCGAACCGTTCATTGAGCCAAACAATGAACCAAAGAAACCGACACGGAAGTAGGCACTGAAGAATCGCTTGCAGTGCTGAAATGCGATTCAACAGGCAGGTAAAAGGGTATCAGCAATGAACAATGATTTATAACGGGTAAAAAAGCATATTCTTGACAGGTCCCGTAGGGTGGTTGGAGCAATAGATAAAATGGAAGGATAATCGAACAAGTAAATCGTTTTTTAAGCCTCTACAGATTTCAACGCACCACTTCATAATGATAGTTTGAAGTATGGACTGGATGTCTGCACCCAAAGTAGAGCTGTTATATTACAGCAAATGTGGGAAAAAGAAATCAAAGGAACGGATAAAGCTCACTCGTGTGTTGCTTCCGTTGAGAGATGTGGTACGTTACTCCAGTTTGTATACATGCATATCGCTCATTGGGACACTTCTGTATGTAACATCACCGCCACTTTGCGGGGAGGGTCAGTAACCTCATGGTTTGGGTCTCGTTATTTCGTCCTCCGAATAGGACGTGCTATGCCAAATAATGCAAGTTGGAAAGTGTGTCATCTAGGCGTTTTTTAAATAGTGCCAATGTGGGGGCAAGGACGACGTGAGTGGGGAGCGCATTCCAAGCACGGGACACACGGAGTGAGAAAGAGTTTCGTCGACAATCAAGTCGGCTGTAGTGTGTAGCCAGTTTGAGCTGATGACCCCACAGGTTGGTAATTTGGCTCAGCTGCAAGAGACTGCGACATGGGTGATTTGGATTCATCAGTATTAAGTAGTCCATGATGAGGTCTCCTCGGTGACGACGATATTCACCACTGTACAATCCCAGAGACTGCAGTCTGCGTTGGTAGGGGATGTGAAACAGGCCTCTAACGAGCTTCGTTGCTCTACGCTGTGGAGCTTCAAGTGCACTGATGTCGCGCTTGCGCCAGGGACGCCAGGCCTGGATCGCATACTCCACGTGGGGTCTCACGTAAGCGCTCAGCATTTGCGGAAATATAGACGGCTCGAAATTTCCGAAAGCCCTCCGTAAGAGTCCGAGATGTTGACTGGCCCTTTTCGATGCCTTTTCAGCTTGTCTGGAGCAGCCAAGGTCGTCCTGCACGATCACTCCGAGGTCGCATTCCTGGGAAGCATGTTGCAACGGCTGGTCCCCGAGTAAGTATTCATGGATGAGCTGGTGGTGTAAGCTCACGACTTTGCACTTGGCGACATTGAAGTGGAGCATGTTTTCGGATGACCAAGTGTACGCCCTGTCCAGATCGCTCTGCAGTGTTGTGTGATCGCCCTCTGTCCGGATGTCATGCCAAATTTTGACATCATCTGCAAACAGCAAGAAGTTCGATTGTAGTACACTGGCAAGGTCGTTAATGAATGTTAAAAATAAACGTGGCCCCAGTACTGACCCTTGTGGCACACCACACTGGACGTCAATTGGGTCGGACATGGAACTGCGGACTCTCACATACAGCTGACGTTGAGAAAGTTGGCGATCCAACCAAGCACAGGGTCACCGATTCCGTAGCCTCGAAGCTTGTGTAGGAGGATGCGGTGATCCAAACGATCGAACGCCTTCGAGAAGTCCAGGTAGACAACGTCGACTCCAAATCTAGCATCAGCTGACTCCGTCCAGCTTGCTCGGGCCAGCAGCAAGTTTGTAGTGCAGGATCGATTTCGGCGGAATCCGTGTTGCTGTGGCACTATGATATTGTTGTTCTCCAGATATCTCATCAGCGCCTCCGCAATTATACGTTCCATTACTTTGGATAAAACTGGGAGGAGAGTGATTGGACGGTAGTTCGACGGCTCCGCACGATTACCGCTTTTGTAAATGGGAGTGACTAGCCCATGTTTCCACATTGTGGGAATCAGCATTTCGTCAAGACAACGTTGAAAGAACCGAGCTAATGGTTCGGCAATGTTTAGGGCCGCTGCCTTCAACGCCTTCGGTTTAATATCGTCTACGCCTGGCGAGCTGTGCACACGCAACGACATTAGCGTTTTCAACACATTGGTTGCCGTGAACGATACGTTGTGTAAACCTGGGAACGGTGAGAGCTCTGTCAAAATCGGGTGAAGGGATGGTTCACTCCGGAAAGTATGGAGGAAGTGTTGACGAAACACGTTGGTCGCGTCCTGTGCAGTTTGCGCATGACCATCTGTTGCAGTACCACGAACCGACGATTCGCTGCCACATAGCCACCAACAGTCGCACGGGGGAACTTGGGATAACCGCAACTTAGCCCGGTGCCCGATGCAGGTTGAAGCCGGTGCTCAGAGGATTACAAGTCAGAAACCTGAATCCTACGGCTATCGATCTGAGAGGAGATCCACCGTCGCCCAAGTCGATGTAAAGATTACGGATGGTGTCTTGGGTGACAATCTTACAAAATGCATGTGGAGTTGCCTACAGTGTCAAGACAACTGCAACAACGTGCATAAAAAATGAAGTCTGCAAATCCTGGCGGAACGACTGTGATTCATGGAACACACACTAAGTTCATAGGTCAAACCACTACATTAACAAGGCCTCCTCTTTTAGTTTGTGCTTAGAAGGAGAGAAATCGAGTGACAACAGGATCAATGGTACTCGTTAGCGTACTGGGTTGTCTGATTGATCTCGAATAACCGCAGGATGTGTGCACTTGCTGAGACAGAAGGTGACCTGCGGATGACTAACCACAGCCGCTCACCTGAGCCATATCCCGTGGGAGAACAGAAAAGCAACTCAAGCATACAACTTTGAGGGGACAAGGATTTTCCAGAATTTCGTCGGCATGCCAGCCACATGTATCAACTGATGAGGAGAAAATCCAGACCTACAACTAATGGTTTTAGTGATTTAGTCCGAGACGGAGAACGTGTGCTGCGACGACGCATTGTCAAAGCAAAGTGGTCTATCTCCCACGTTCCTTCCACGTGAATAGAGAAAACCACGAGAAAAAAAGCAACGCCTGCGTAAGCATCGGTAAAACAGAGCCGAGGTGTAAACGTCAGGACGTAAAACTACGATATCCACTGCGCTCAAACAAAACTTACTTGAGTGAGCATAAGTGGAGTGACAAGAAATAACATACGTAACTTTGAAATCCGCACTGGTCGATAGAGGCATGATAAATGATTCATCTGTGGTAGAACACCTGTGTCTGAAGAGGGGCGGCGATGGGTGGCTGGCGCGGCACCATTCACCGCTGCATTCACACGACCGGCATCCGGTGTAGGCTATAAAACACAAAGCTGTAGGAACCACAGCATGCGCGGTTGACGAGTGCCCCGAAAGTGAAACAATAGTAGGTAACTCACAATGCATATACGCGGGACACGTGAGCTCACAATCTGTTGAGCTTCAAGAATTTTTGACAAAGAATGGTGAATCATGACCCAGAAATACAAAGGGAACTGGGTCCGTCACAACGATGGGCAAGGGAAAAAGACGGAGAAAGATAAATACAACCGGTATATTATGTAACAGCAGCAGGGACCACAAAGCACTGTAGGCAGTTCAGAAAACCCGGGACTAAAAGCAGACTAATGATCAGGTAGATAACGGAATATGTGGCCGACTGATGACCCTGGGTAAACAAAACTTGACACACCACAATTATAACCGAAACTGCTGTTTCGGTGACGAGTGCTGGCTGACGGTAAACATCAGATTGTGTGATTCGTGAAAGAACGCATGCTGATAACGCAAGTGCAATTGCATAATAAATAAAGTTCACATTCAGATAGGAAGGAGTCGGATGACGCAAATCAAAAGCTACCTCGTAGTGGCGATTTGGAGTGAACCCGAAGCGTATTAAACAGACAACGAGAAATGTCAGCCCTCACACTATGCTACAACGTGTCGAGCCCGACGATAATGGACACAAAGGAGAGGGAGTAAGACAAATTCGCAGAAATCATGGGAGGGAGGCATACCAGTTTACGTGAATGCACCAGGAAGATTACAGGAAATAACTTAAGCAAACATACAGCGAAGATAGCCGTAACTATCAATGAACCGATGATATAGGTACGTTAGCATGTCCTTACCTTTTGTATGTGCAGTGTGGTATATGCATCTTTGATTTTACCGTGAATATCAGCGATTTCTGCATACTGACAAAGCTCTTCAAGTGCTGGGATAAGTTTGGCATAAATCCGAGGAATGAACTCGGGCAAATCTGCCTTGGAAAAAGCCTCAGCGGTGAGAGTAAGTAACGAAGACCAACCAGCGAAAGTGAAGTAAGTTGATGTGTCAATGGCGCGCATTACGACGTAGAAATGCAAAGAGCAAGTAGACGACGGAATACCGGGATTCACCACAATCGTGTCACTGTGGATGCACGCGTCGTAACACTCCTCCAACACATGCACGCTGTTGACTGCATCAGCGATATTCACATATTCAGCACTGAGCAGACCGCGGCTGACCAAGTTGTTTGAAACAAGCGCAGCACAGTGAGCAAGACATTGTGCAGCCTCCCAGAACTGTGCGAGCTAACGAATGAGCGGGACAAAGAGTCAGTAAGCAATGCTGAGGTTGTGTATCAACTAATGAGATGGAGCAAGATATGTATGGATTAAGATGCTGCCGTTGTGCAGTCGGAAATCAGGTCATCGAGACAGCGAACACGTGTACACGTCGACGTTGCCGGTGGCAACTGAAATGATTAACATAGAGATGGTACGTGGAACCGAAATAAGCCATTCGCCTCAGTGGACAGAAATAATATAAGAAGCGAGAAAACGCCAATGAAACCAAGTCGGGGAAGTGGGAAAAGAGCGTAAGACCGAACTAAATGAAACGAAGGAAAAAAGAAGGATTATCGTGCCAATCATGCTTTCAACAAAGCTGAATCTCAAGACGGTTTCTGATAAAAGGGGTATAAGTCAGACAGCAATAGATACTTGGTAGGGGGAACCGCCAAATCAGGAAATGACACGAAACACCAGATATCTAGATTAGGGCAATAAGTGTTGGAATGCAATACCATGAGTAGCATAAACTTTCGCACATGGCATGGTGCATTAGTAAGGTGCAACGAGATGGTCACCCAGTCGGAGGTAGAACGAAAGACATCCGAAAAAATACACTAGGTCTTACACCATTCACAAGAAAACAGAGGTCCACAAGAAGTGGAAAACTAGGGACGCAAAATGACAATTAAGCGAGACACATAGATGTGCGATGCGGTCCATATGCCTTTTACCTCATGCACGAGTGATATTCACCAATGTGGAACAAAATCGCCATCTAAAAAGCGTGATTAAATCGCCACGGATGATTGGAACAATAGGTTAAATGCAATCCTTAGAAAGTTTTCAAAGCTTATATATGTCGTGATCGATAGTCCCAGAACCCGATTTGTTTCTGTTAAGGAGTATGAAAATAGAGTGCGGTGGTGAACCAGTGTGAAAAAAACTGACCTCGATGTGCTTTGTGGCAAGTTGAAGAAGCCAAAATAGACGAAGCGAGGGTATGAACCGAACACGATCAGCGATGGAGCGAAGCAAGTCAAGAATAGTCAACATTCCCTCAGGTTCCAACTTCAGTGTTAAGTTCCAAAGATGCAATGATGATAACTTGGACCGTAAACGATCCGAATCGTCTAACAAGTCCCTGAGGTTAGTCATCAAGCGCTTGATCCGAGAACGGAAATCAGAGAAGCAGTGCTCGACAAGTCTCGGGGAAATACCGCTGCGCTGAAAGGTGTAGTGGTTGGACAAGTTAGATTTAGATTCTTCCACTTTGGTATCTTTTCCGGCACATTCTTCCAAAATGGCAAGTGAGGTTTTGAGGAATGTGTGTGACACGACGGAAACAGGTCGTCCTAATCTCAAGAGATCAGTGGCACTCGGGGAAGGTAGAAATTCCAAGGCAGGAAGTTTCTCAATGGGAGTGAACAACCCCACGAACGATTTAAAGACGTAGCCTTCCACACATGTCAAGTTCTGAAAGGTTACAAAACAACTGAAGCTAGAACGAATGTCACTTGGCAAAAACAATGTAGTAATTTAAAAAGGCGGACTGAAATAAATGGGGCAAGATCCCTGTCTATCAAAAAGGATGGAAACTTCACAGAAGACAAAAAGACTACAGATTAAAGAGGTGTAGCTACTAAAGGGTATGGGAAAAAGTTCACAATGAGGCACTCGAAGATGCTAAAAGAGTCGCTGCGTTGCGAGTAGCCACGCGTGGCCACGCTGTGATTGGCAGATATGTCTATGTTAATCAAGTGACAGAATTCAAGGTGGCCGGGCTCAATCACATGGCGAAAGCAACATAGCATCAGATAAATTTGCTAAGATGCCTTATGAAAAACGTACTTTTTTACAAATTCATTGTTCGCCAACGGCAATGTGACATAGTACCAGTGACACGCATTTCTTATACGCGTTAAAAACAAAAACCGTGGATTGTGAATAGAGAACAACTACAACACATGCCAGATTGTTCCCCTCTGAAAGCATGCTCCAGGAATCAAACAAGATGGTTGGTTACAGAGTGCAACATTGGAGACGCGTATCCGAAGGGAACGCCGACGTAAAGCGGATGCTAGTGCACGATGACATCACACATGTTGGCATCACCCCTAACCGCATCACCTGCAATGCGATGTGATTATCAACAAATACTGAATTGTGAGAATTCACGTAGTACGGAGCGATTTTACTAATATTCAAGAAAGCAGTAATTAAATGTGTCCCGAGAGGCTCAGAGCCAAGCGTCTGAGTGATAGTTTTCGTGAGATACAGTTTGAAAGCAGTGTGAAGTTAATCCAGGGTAAAAGCGCAAAAGCGGATAATATGGAAGAATGTTTCCAACGGCGAGTTACGTGATAGTGAAAGTGGCTAGGAAAAGCGAATTCAGTGGCCGGAAAATGGGGTGTCCGAGGTATAAACGAACCCAACGGCATGCCTTAGTGGGTCAAACTAATGAAGCGCAAGCTGTCTTATAAAAAGTAGGTGAATGAGGGAACATTCGAATTGGATGCCGATTGTGATTAACAAGATGAACAATAGATCACAGTGTCGGAATTTAAAAAAATTGGACAGTTACCGTTGCGCGATTCACCAATTAAAAAAGAGGATAAATATGGTCCCCAAGCGGGTTGATGAATATAGCTTCATGAAAACGAGGAGAAACTAAATACTCCATCCGGTGATTAGGAAATAAACGAACAAACACTATTAAACGCCAGCTGATTCATCAGTCTTAGGTCGAAAACACGGTCTTCCAAATAAGTCACAATGAGTATGTAGTGCGCTAACTGTGCGCAAAGGGATCATATTTTGATGTATGCTGTCACGCTGAAGCATCCACCTAGAGAGGTCGGCGCAGCCCAACAAATAAGGAAGATTGCGAAACAAAAGCGAAATAAGGTAGAGTAACGCAAAGCGAATAGCTTACAACTGTCTGCTATGTACACAAGGAGGAAGGATAGGTCAAAAGCGTACTTTGTTCAGTTTGTAGTTGTTCAGCATCAGATGGTAAAGCGCGTACGCGGCATGACGACGAACTTCTATGTGTTCCGAAGCGAATAAGCGCAAAAGTTGATAGGTGCAGATGGCGACTATCTCGGAGTTGCCCTCGAACACGAAGTTTGGAAACTGAAATTGGACCAAGACCAAACAGGATACAGTCGAATAAGAAACTTTGCAAGATCCGAAAGCGTAAATCAGCATAAATGACAGTAAGCAACCTGAAAGATGATCACACGCATTCCCGCGTAATTGACAAGAATTAAGGGGACGTAGGGTCATAATTCGTTTGAGGTAAGAAACAGTAAAAAGCTTGTGCATTTTCGTGCACATAGCAAACACGCACCACCTTCATGTGCACGCCGCATGGATACGCCATGCGGTTATTCATGTGGGGAGATGGAAGATAAAAGCTGTGCTCGTTTGCACCAAAAGAGAGAAGTCCATCAAAGTGTGGATGGGGGAAGACCGAAAAAGCAGGGTTGGTAACTGACCAAAGTGCAAAAACAACATTTTTCCGACCAGCACGCTACGCACTTCCGCATTGCATCGCATTCAGTGAAATGAACGCTGAATCCATCAGGAAGTGCCATAGGAATAGAGGAAACGGAGAAATTTGGGATACGTTTTCCCATGGTAATGAACAGTAGAACCGGATTTGCCTCACAAAGCAGTGTAACAACACTATCGTGACCCAAACAAAGCAATACTACACAACATGCAATCCAACGACCAGACACTAGCTCAGAGATGGTCAACCATTGTAAATCCATTGTACATAATCAAGGGTTGTCTGGTTGATCAACCACAATGGGAAGACGATTTTACAAGTGGAGTAACAGGGTATATCACATGATCACCATTTATCATTCAACAGTCTGTGAAAGTCGCAGGAAGAAAATCCCCTTGGTGTCGAATCCTTTGGTTTGCAGCATTTCCCGATGCCTAGTTCACGCGATGTTGAATGACAGCAGCAAACAGCCCGATTCACCGGATGGCAACCTTTCGCAATTCGGTTCAGTGATTACCTAATGAGGGAATAGTACTTAACCGCTTTGTAGTAGTTATGACGCAGTGAAAGCATTAGATTTTGTGACGAGGAAAATTGGCAACAGTTTTTAAATTAAATTTCAGCCCTCCATCGGATGTTGTCTCAACCAGTATCTGTCTCATGGTGAAGCCAGTTTCATCTGCGACAGACATCTACGTAAATGGCACTCAAATGTCGTCATAATGAGCCCCTATGGGAATGGTCGTCGAAAAATAAGGTTAAAAATGGTAAAAGTCCTGTCCCATCTATATGCTGTTCGTACATGGTGAGTTAAACGATACTGCATTAAAGTATGATTGTCATACTACTCAGATTCAAATAAGTTATTCGCGACCGCAAGCTAACCAAATATGCTCGTATATGTGAGCCATATGTGACAACATAGTGCGATTCAGTGACTACACAACTATTTATGTAGCAAGCTTTGGATAGCTAGCGAATTCCCATACGTATCAACAAAGTACCATCGTCGAAGGAGTTTCGATATCGAGCTATCCAAACACTGTCACTCAACAACCGGGATCGTCTTCGTTTGGGTTCATCAGGTGAAGATAGCTGTGGATGCGAGTGAAACTTCGGGGTCTAATAAATAAATGAATATAACCTTTATTCTCAAAGTGCATGAAACAGCCCTAAACAAGCAAAGTCAACGGCTGACGCTTTGATCAGTAAAATACGGAGGTCCGTGAAGGTTTGACAAAGTGGTTAGAAATGCGAACGTGGGTTTGGAGTATCCGCTGTTGTTGTTGGATTGCGACACGGAATTTCTGCTGTG